ATGTGCAGGAGGCAGCTGATCGATGTTTCTCTCTCATTGATGTTTCTAACTCTCTATCTCTCTCCCTTCCTCTCTGTGAAAAATCAATAAAATATATTTAAAAAAAAATTTGCTGCTCTCCCACATTTCTCTCCACAAATTAACCACAATCCACAGTTTTGTTAAAAACCAGGGCATACCGTTATTTCTCCCTTTACCTCACAGTTTACATCTAATATAACAATTAGTGTCTGGAGAGATGCCTCTGGGATATGTCTAGAACTTGACCATTTCTCAGTATCTCCACTATTTATCACTAGTGTTTTCCTATTTCTTTCAGACTGAAACCCACACACCTTACCTTCAGCCCAGAAATAATTTACAGTGTCTCTGATACCTTACCCATCCTTGTGTTCATTCTGTCACATATTAACACAGGCCTTCCTTACCCTTGGCATCGACTACACTGCAGCTACAGGTAGGTAGTAAAGCCACAGAGGAAGAGCAAAACTCATCTAGGAGCCTTACTCGGTTGCATTTTTCTAAAAATCAAATGTATGGAGGTAAACTTTACACACAGTAAAATGCATCAATTTTTGACAAATGTGTACATTCACTCAACGACCGCCACAATCAAAACACACCTTTTCTATCATGTAAGAAAATAAAAACAGTAGAGAGGTATGTAAATATGAGAGCCTCTCCCCAACTCCACTACACCTTTCTGCTAGAACAACTCAACGTATCTGTGTGCCTCCCACTGGGCAAGTTTTCTCTCAACCTTGACTGCAATTCAGAATCATCTGGGAAACTTGAAAATTCCCAATGTGCAGGAAGCACTCTAGACCAATGAAATCAGAACACACACATATGTATTTTTATTTAAGCTTTCAAGCACAGGCAATGTTGAGAACCATTATAATCTTGCGAATGGTGTGTGTGTATGTGTTAAGTGTGTTTGGCTCTCCTTCCTCTTCTCCATCAAGTTAACTTCTTACTCTTCAATCTCCCCTCAAAGATCATTTCCTCAGGGAACTCTTCTTCTGAACCCCTCTCCTATGGTGGGATCTCTTTCTTGTTTTATTACATCTGCTTGTGTTTCTAATGTCTATGTTCCCCACGAGATTGTAAACTCCCTAGGACTTAGCACATGCCCAATATAGAACAACATATACTATAAGCGAATCCTATATAATAAAAGGCTAATATGCAAATTGTCCCCTCGACCGGGAGTTCAACTGGGAGTTCGACCAGGGGCGAGGTTGGCAGGCCAACGGCCCGTGGACCCTCTCCCTGGCCAGCTCCACCCCCGACTGCCCCCCCACCCACTCCGGGCGGCCCCACCCATGCACAAATTTGTGCACCGGGCCTCTAGTGAATGTATAAATGAATGAGAGTGAACGGAGATGTTTGTAGCATCACTCAGCACAGGGTAAGGCGGACGTCAGTACAAGGCCTAGGACAGCTCCAGGATGCTCTTGGCACCTCGGTGGTCCTTTCAGGAAAGACCTTCTCTGAGTCCACAAGGGGTCCTCTGTGGCTATGCCGGCAAAACCCAGGCACGGCATCTTC